CATTTCAAATTTGAATTTGAATTATATCTGATTCAAATTGGAATTTGAATTCAAATATTATATATATATAGTATTTCTATACACCTAAAGTTTATAGAACTAAAGTTTATAAGTCAAAAGTTTACATACCCGATTCAAATTTGAATTTGAATTATATCTGATTCAAATTTGAATTTGAATTCAAATATTTTCTATATATAGTATTTCTATACATCTAAAGTTTGTACACCTAAAGTTTATAGACCCAAAGTTTATAAGTCAAAAGTTTACATACCCGATTCAAATTTGAATTTGAATTATATCTGATTCAAATTTGAATTTGAATTCAAATATTTTCTATATATAGTATTTCTATACATCTAAAGTTTGTACACCTAAAGTTTATAGACCCAAAGTTTATAAGTCAAAAGTTTACATAACCGATTCAAATTTTTATTTGAATTCAAATTTTTTATATATAGTATTTCTATACATAAATTTTTCTAAATTTTTGTTTTTTTAATTTTTTTTGTGTGGAGATGTGTAAACTTGAGGTGTACAAACTTTAGATGCATAAATTTACTAAAATAGGAAAGTAATGCGGTGCCAAAAAAGGAAACCAGGTGGAGGGATCTGATCGCCCCTAGCGACCCCTAGCGATCGATCGCTAGGTAGCATTCTCGCCGGACAACCCACCACTCCACGAGTCTAGCGCACTATCCTACTCACCGCCATGTGGAATATTTGGAATCGATGCAACAACAAGGTTTTCAATTCCCTTGATGAACCCGCGACGTTAGTTCTCCGGGCGTTGTGCTAGTGACATTGAGCTTTGGTCCCACCGATGTAACAATGCCGAGAGCAAACAATAGCTGTGCAACTGGGCCTCAAACCTCTCTGTAATTAGCTCTTAATTTAGTTCTCCCCCTCTCATCCCCCTGTAACCCTTCTCCAGTAAATGTTTCATCAGTTCAATAAAAGTTCAGGCTGGTGCCAACAGCAACCGCCATAGTTTCCTTCAAAAATATGTCAGTGTTGCATGAGAAATCTGCTCTCACCAGATACACAAACAATGAGTGGGATCAAACAGATCAATATCCAGCAGCAGTTGGGTGCATCGGCTGAGGGGCAGGTCTCCTTGAGCTCCGACGAGCCACTAAACGATGAAGACAAGGACAAGCAAGGTGGGAGCACAAAAGAGGACGACAAAGGTAGACACGACAGAGCGAGGTGGGCATGGGCAGCAAGTGTTGTAGGGTGTTGACACTCATGGATCAGCCACCGGCGACGAAGGTGGCAACCACGGCAGCCGCCTCTAGCTGCTCCTCCCTTCTGTAGCGCCGCCACTCTGTAGCTATCATATCATTGCCTTGAGGCGCGTCAGACCGACCTGAAGTCGCCGGTCAGACCGGCTAGAGGTCCTGGTCCGATCGGTGTCCTACGCTGTGCTAATCTCGGTTTCGGTTTCATCACTTCAAACCACCTTGGTTTCATCTCCAGTAGGTATTGGTATATAATGAGACCCCACTCTAATAGTAATCACCTCAGAAGACCTTGTCTCCACCTTGACAAGCTTCTCTCCTCCCCCTCTCTTCTTCAAACCGATTTTTTTTTATTGAAACCGGACTTTGCTTGACGAAGACAAACGCTGATGTACTGACCTCCGTGGTTTCACCCAACCTTGATGGAATTGCATTGGCAGCATTGGTGGCATGTAATCATACATTGGTGGCGATGCCCCCCATGGCATGAAGGGAAAGGATAATCCGGCGATGGCATTGGACAAGGTCCCGTTGGCTTGACTTGAGGATGATAAGGGAAAGGTTGCTCCAATCGTCTTGGTGAATGATCAAATCTCTCTCTAGGAGGTGATCTTGGTCTTTTACCCTTGTTATGTCGTTGTTCAACACCTTTCTTTTCGTACTTGTTCAAGAGCATATCAAAAGACACCATCGGCTTCCGTGGTGTTCTAGAGCTTGAAGTTTCACCCTTATTCTCCTTCCAAACACCAACTTCTGGGCTTTTTGGCACAATCATCTTGGGTCTAGGCTCTTCAACCACTACTTCTTTCCCCTTGGTAGATACGACTTGCTCCAACCGAATCAACACCTTTTTATTATTGAAGTCAATAGTATTCACAGGAAAAGGATCATGGTCTAGCTTCATCTTAGAACATTCAGTAAATTACCATCGTCCTTCCTCTATGGCCAATTGAACCTGTCCACGAAACACATTGCATTCATTAGTAGTATGAGAATAAGAATCATGCCATTTGCAATAAGAATGACGCCTCAATTCCTCTAATGATGGTATGCATGGCCTTTGGTTAACCTAATTTGTTTCTCTTGCAAAAGATAATAAAAAATCTTATCACACTTGGCCACATGAAAACTATACTTTAATCTCACTTTGCCGATCCTTTGTGAGGAGTCGACGTCAAGTTAGAACAAACAAAAGGTTTATTCTTGTTGGTCCATGACCACTCAGCAACAAAAATATCATGATCACCATCATCATTATTAGAATCACTATCATCAGGGTATTCAACAATACTAACATTAGGCTTCTTATCATTGGACCTAACAAACCTCTTAGTTTCTTTAACCTAGCTTTCTTGAGCCAGAGCTTTTTGGATTAGTTGAGTAACATCAAGAAATTGTTGGCCATCTAATCTTTCTTTAATAGGAGCAAGTAAACCATTATAAGCCATGTCGGCCAAATCTATCACAATTATATTTAAACTAAACACAGATTTCTAGTATCTCTAAACCTTTTGATATAATCAGTAACAGATTCATTATACTTTTACCAAACAGATATTAAATTAGACAACCTAAGCTCAGTTTCACCGGTATAAAAGTAATCATGAAAATTTTTGTTCTAATTAAGCCCAAGTATAAATAGAATTTGCTAGCAAAGAAGTAGACCATGTAAAAGTAGTACCAGACAAAGACAAAGAAAACAAGCGCAACTTAACAGCATCCACGTTTACTAGCTTCGACACATTGTGCAAGGAATTGGCCTATGTGTTCCTAAGTAGTCCTACCATTTTCACCATTAAACTTAGTAAATTCAGGGACTCTAAAAGTACGATGGTATGGTATGTTATCAAAATTATCAGGATACGACTTTTGATAAACCTTAGCACGATTCCTTGGCTTAAGTTCAAATGCTTCCCTAATGATGTTCCTAATTTTTTCGTCCATATTCTCGGGCCTTGGCTGTGGATTTGGTGGCCTAGGAATAGGTGGTTGCGGTGGCACAATATGATTATATTGGTCATATCGAGCATCTTGTGGATACCCTCCATAAGCATGATTAGGAGCATTATAAATATTATGCATAGGTGGGGGAATATGGGGATTAGCATTAACATGAGCTACGTGTGGATTAGGTGCCTGATAATGGTGCAAAACATCATTATTTGTGATTAGATCTATTTCTTGCACCGGGACGAAGGTCCGGTCTGACCGGCGGTCAGAGGCGTGGTCAAACTAGCCAGTGGGCCGGTCAGACCGGTGTCGGTCTGTGACAATAGACCGGGTGAAGGCATATAGGATTTTCCTTGCTCCCAACGTTTTGTGTAACGGCTTCATCGGTCCTGCTATATATATGATGAACAGGGGCTGGCTAGTACTTGGAATTGAACTAGGTGATGAGCGAGCCAAAATTGACATCATAGCAGGTTCAAGTTTACTATTGAGAATGACAGTGAGAGATTGATCTATGGTACTTGCTATGAGCTTTTGAATAGGGAGAGCAACATTGTCGGAAATTACGAGAAACTCTTTGACGGGTCTTGATGTAGGATCTCGCCTCAGGGCAACCACGGCAGCCGCCTCTAGCTGCTCCTCCCTTCTGTACCGCCTGCGTCACCGGTCTGACCGGTCCAACTGTTCGCTTCGCCTGGTCCAACTGTTCGCTTCGCCTTTTCCTGCTGTCGTTGCCGCTAATATAACAGCAATGGTGCCGCCGGTGTGACCGCCACGATGTCGCCGGTGTGACAGCCGTGCACCTGCCAGTGTGACTGCCACTCGCCGATGTGACCATCGAAATCCGAGCAAACACAAATCGAAGATCTCTCATAGTAGATTAAAACTTTATTACTTTTCTCTGTGTTTACAAAGTGCAACAACAGTACTCCTCACGAAAATCTTGACTAAACTTGAAACCCAAACTTTACTGTAAACTCAACTCTGTCAAAATCGATAACGGAAGGCCACACCCTCCCTCTTTGTTTATACCCAAGGTAGACAGTCTAAAGCCACGAACCAACATTATACAAGAAGTCATAATCCCGTTGGAAACATTCCTGTACATGAACCGAACTGTACAAACTCCAATTGTACTAAATTTGGACTCCCTCCAAATTTGACTCCGCATCCCATACACACATAATATCTCTATCGTATAACATATGGAATCTCCACCAACCACATGCATTGATTTTGAGCCTAAGCATCCTGCATGATATCATGATCGTTCGGACGTCATCTTCTCCCAAATTGACTCTCGATCCATCATTGGCAACGCTTTTCCGAGGCATTAAGACTCACCTACACATGTATCAACCAAGAAACTATATCCGAGCACAAGTTCTCACCAACTTGACACATTGTTCGCAAACAACAGTATTATATATGCATAGTATCCATATAAATGTCATAAACATGAATTATCCATGTCTATTCAAAGAATCAACCCTAAACCAAAACCGACACAACGTCGGCCGGTCAGACCATAGGCTGGCCGCTCTGACCGGCTACCACAGCCCGATCTTACCGGTCCAAACCTATTAAAACCAATCATTTCCAAAACCAAAAAATTCCAATCATTTCCAAAACCACTTCGCCAATAATCTCCAAACATCAAAACCAATTATGTCAGATGCCAATTGTTCATCACAAAATAACAATCAAACACGCTTTGATTTTGCACCAAAGAATAGCTCAAATCAGTTCCTACATGCTACAAAACTTGAACATAATTTGCATAAGGAAATAACAATAACAATAATAATGGAATGCACAAATTAACTCCCCATTTATCACTATATAGATTAGTTTAAGCACAGAAAGAAGATAAGAAATACCAGATGTGCACTTGGAAAAAAATAGAAGCAAACTTAATCCATCACAATGCACGCATGAGCATACATAGCTTAACATTACATAATTTATCACAAGAGCATTGTACAGTTGTGGTGCGATACCATGAACGATGCACCATGGGTAGGTACAGGTACAGCTTGATCTTCATCTTGCTGATGGACCGAACGTGGGCACCATAGCCACCACTACATCATCCGTTGGGTTCTCCTTGAGTCCCCTTTCCTGACGAGCTTCCTCCAATGTTAGACTCTCCTTCAGCTGTGCAACCACGGCTGCCATGGATGGCCTCCGAGCTGCTACAGGTTCCGTGCACAACAAAGCGATTTCTACCACCTTCCACATGGAGTTAACATCATAGTCATCCCCAAGTCGCTGATCGGCAATGGAGCTGATGTCCCCTGAATCAACCTTCTGTTTCACACGCTGAATGATGTGACCATGGCCTTGTAATATCGGAAGCTCACCGGTGACTACCTCTAGAAGAACAACACCAAAGCTATAGACATCATTGTTCTCAGTGATCCAGCCAGTTTGGTAGTACCTTGGAAAAATGCATTGAAATAATTTAATTTTCTTTTGAATATATGCAAAACAAGTAAACAATGATATGATAGGGATATAGAAGAACATACTCGGGGTCAATGTAACCCATTGATCCAGCTACAGTGGCTGACATGTGAGATTGCGAATCACTAATATAAGTTCTAGAAAGTCCAAAATCTGCTATTTTAGCTCGTAAGTTTTGACCCAACAGAATGTTACTAGTCTTCACATCCCGGTGAATTATTGACTTGTTGCAACCCTTGTGCAGATAATCCAGTCCTACATATATCACATGTCAAAAAAAAATAGTGATAAGAGTTCTTGAGTAATAACACATGTACTTAAGATTAATCTATGAGTAAATTTCATAAAACTACAGATACTATATTCAAATTACTGCAAAAGTTTAAGACTTTGTATTAGTGAACTACATATGGTGATAGAACCTAAAACCTATAGTTCATTGATAACTCATATATGCACAAAAATCTACAGTTCTCTGATACAACAGTTTTGTGATTATTTGGATAAATTATTTTGTAGTTTTGTGTAATTTACTGAATCTATTTATATGCATCCTTGTATTTGTATGTATAGCAGTATATGTACCTTGTGCAGCATCCAGCAAAACTCGGACACGCATTGCCCAATTCAAGTTTTCGCCAACACCACTTTTACCTTCATATGTGTGGAAAGAATAACGTTAACACAAACCAAAGGTATCTCAGTTTCAGAAAATATATGCAATTCTATCACACTCTTATATTGAATAAATTAATCAAAATTAGCCTTTGACAAATAGAAACTAGAAAGTATTCATGATGAATCAGATATATGCAACTATGATTACACTGTTTTATTTTCCTTTTTGAAGGAAAAATAAGATTTAAGTGTTACTTTGTGTTGCATTCATTTTACACGGAAGAGATAGTCATGTAGATAGCCCAACAAATTATTTTTACTTCAGATATTGGTATTTCTACAAATCGATCAACATGCAATTTTGAAATAGTGACACATGCATCATGTCAATTCTTAGGCTCAAACTTTCAACCGAACTAACTTTGCAATATACAAACCTCTCAGATGATCAAACAGATTGCCTCTAGACATGTATTCGTAAACCAATGCTAAATGAGCCTTCTCCGAGCAGTAACCAACCAATGAAACTAGATTCTTGTGATGCACCTTTGTCAAGCTCTGAACCTATATAATGAGATAAAAAAAATTGTGCAAATATCTGAAGCTGTGCACAATGCTACTGTGTGACTCACAAGTTTGCAATCACATGTATTATGTCGAAATTTGTACTCTGAAGTTGTTACCTCAGCTAAAAACCCATTAAACCCACTTGACGATGTTCCAGAAAGCATCTTGACAGCGACCTCGGTATTATCTTCTAAACGACCGTGGTACACACGTCCAAACCCTCCTTCTCCAATTATCAGTTGGAAGTTATCAGTAATCTTCTCCAGTTCCTTATAGGTGAATTGACGATTCTCATTTTCTTGTAGATGATCCCAATGATATTTTTCATTTCTTGAAGCATTTGTGGGTTCTGGAACTCTGGGAGGATTGTATGCGAAAACTTATTCGCACAAAAAACCAGTTATATAAAAGAAATTGCCACTGAAGTAAAACTCTCGTAATCAATTAATATATTTCCTTAAAGGTTATAGAAGAGCATACTTACTGTTGGACTTTCTTTTAACTCTCCATATTAAATATGAAAGACCAAGTATAGCCACTACCATCACGGGAGCTGCTATTGAGATAGCTAATATAGTTGCTCTGCTTCTTGAAGAAGACGGACTTGTTTTTTTGCACAAATCTTGATCAGAATTATAACTGAAAGTACATAAAACCATGAGTTTAGGGTTTACTTTGGTGTAGAAAGCAAGTACATTAATGGTCAGATATCTAATGATCACAGAAGGAGAATTTCTTTCCAAACTTCAGATAATATTAATTGGGAGAACAATACCAACAAGAATATCCAGACCTGAAAATGAATGACCCTGCATTTAGTTTGCACAAGGAGTCTGGAATTGTTCCATTCAGTTGGTTGCCTGTCAAATTTCTGTGAAATTAACATGAAATTCAGACCTTAAGTAATGTTTTGATTTGTCGACAATCTACAAGAAAAAAATCTATACATATAAAGAATAAAAAAGCGGGGAAACTTGGTAGATAATCAGTTATCTACCAACTTAAATATGTTTTAGTAATTAACATCGACCAACTTATATTGTTGCAAGGCAAATTCTTAAATAGTTGCACAATTGAAGTAGGAAAACCAAATATTAACACAACAAAAACTAGCAAAATGCCCATACGGATTATCTAAAAATTAAAGCTTTCTTCTCTTCCTCGAAAATCAGTTATAGTAGGAACCACACTGACTGGTTGAGGAAGAGTGCCGATGGTTAATCTTGTCTATGGGTGTAAGTCATCGACTTCCAAGCTACTAAACCAACTTCCTCCTCAATTTGGAACGTCCAACCCTAAAGCTTGCAACATGGCAGCGAACACAAGTTAATTTGTTATTGGTCTTGATTCCTTCTCCTCCAGCTCTCCCAAACAGTTAGCTTTTCGTCCATATTCTGAGAAGCTGTAGCCGTAGATTCCAGAAATGAACTAGAAGCTAATTCCTCCGCTTCATATTATAAGGCGTTTGACTTTTTTCTAGTCAAACTTTGTTAAGTTTGACCAAGTTTAGAGAAAAATTAACAACATCTAAAATATAAAATTAGTTTCATTAAATCTAGCATTGAATATAGTTTGATAATATGTTTATTTTGTGTTGAAAATACTACTATTTCTTTTTATAAATTTAGTTAAACTTAAAGAAGTTGGACTAGAAAAAAAAATCAAACAACTTATAATATGAAGCGGATGAAGCGAATGAAGTAGAAGCTTAGAAATCCAGCTTTTCTATATTCTCGTAAGCTGGTTACCAAACCAGTAGTTTCTTAAAATCTTAGGCTTCCCTAAAAAGCCTAAGAAATACTATCCTTATGTTTACCCAATACTCGGCTCTACACACAAATCCTCAATTTTGAATCTGCGTCCCTCCTCCTTACACTTTTTTCACCTCTCCTTTGGACACCATATCATCCTTCTTTACCTTGTCTACTGCTGGTGACAACAAGATGTCGATGACCCGATCAACTGAGTCGATGGTATATTAATACTACACAACTTCAGTAGAGACATTTCACAATGACTATCATCAGCATGGTCAGGTTCATGCCCTCCTTTCGAGCATGCTTGGTTGGTTGCGCTCGGTTGAATATATTGGTGCGGTGATATGGTACCTTGACATGGGATTTTCCTCAAAATAATATATATGTCTTTAGCGTGAGTATATACTAATATCTATAGATTTCCTAGAGAAAAAGTATATTTCAAAGTATCATAGTAGCAGTGTGATACTTCCTCCGTATCATAGCCACCTTTATACATTGCAACTAATAAAACACCACCCATTTCATTGTCACCTATAATTTCCCAATTTGGAGGGATTAAGTCAATATAAATTTCTTTCATTATTCTCTGTACAGATTAGCAAGCTGAAAAAATACACAGATCATAGCATCTGCGATCCACCCTCTCCCTCCCTCATGTTCGTTGCTCTGGTTCTCTCTCTGTTCTCAACTTCTCATTGCTCAACCAGGAGGAGGGCCAGGATGGCCGCTGCGCTGTGGAGAAGCCACCTGCAAGGAGAAGGAGCAGGACGGCGCCGGCCGTCACCAGGCTCGGCCAAGTAGGAGGCTAACCGGCCCTCCTGCACTCCGCCCCTCTAATCTAACACCTAAACATGCGGGGTGTATGTGAAACAACCCAACTAAATCTACTTTCTCTTAGGCATATTGGGTGTATGTGTAACAACCTAACTCATCTAAACTCTTCCATGAAAGCATGCCCACGTATACATATGATTAATTCTAAGCTTACCCCCAACCACTTGCCCTTTCTTCTCACTTCATGAATACGATTAATTTAAAGGCTGTATGCTTAATAAAAACATATGATCATTTGTCCTAATTTATGTAAGCTATCAACCATACTGCAACACATGCATGTGAGCCATCTCGGCTAAGATATACTTTTTGTTTCAAATTATTTATCATTTTATCTTTGTGGTAAATCAAACATGTAAATCATTCACAATTAATTTCTAGTAATTCGTATAGTTTAACAACATATGAACTATTCCCTCCGTCCCAAAATAACTCAACCTAGGATGGGATGTGACCCATCGTAGGCCAACGAATCTGGACATAGGGAATATGTCACATCTAATACTAGGTTGAGTTATTTTGGCATAGAGGGAGTATATATTAAGAAAGTATTTCTCAAGGTGAATCTAAAAATGTAAATCTTATTATTGTAAACTATATGAATATTTCGAAATTGATGGTGAAATATACAAATGTTTGATTTAGTATAAAACTAGAGCAAGAAGTAATTCAAAACGAAGGTATTATCAGCTTAGTTTTGTTTGATATGTTCTTTAAAGAAATTAAACCTTATGCTTGTTTCATATTGCAGTATAGTTATTAGCTTTTTGGTCTTACTTAAACTACATATTGGACTACCTTAAGCTTCAACTCCATGAAACTTGCACAATAAGCCTACACTAATGTAAAGTTTAAGTCGCATGGCGTGGCGTGTGTTTGTGTGTGTGTGTGTGAGAGAGAGAGAGAGAGAGAGAGAGAGAGCGGGGGGGTGGAGATATGTTCCAAAGTTTGAGTTTGTCATGATTGATGTCATATGTAAATTCCAGATATCATAAGTAACAAAAGCTAAAGGAATTTCATATAGACTTACAAATTCTCAAGTGCTGTGAGAAGTGTGAAGTTATTAGATATCACCCCATGCAAGTTGCTGTTGGAGAGATCGCTGGACAACAATTTTCAAGTAACCCAACATAAGACAAAAGTAACAATAGTATAAGGAAGATCTTGTGTATGATACTTACAGAGATATTATCCTTGGAATATTATCACTTGTGTTCCTGCATATCACACCATCCCATGCAAATCGGGACGGGGAACATGGATCACCCATCCAATTCTTCTTTATCCCGTATTCAAATTTAATAGCCATGATGGCATCAACTAGCATAGTTACATAAAGAGAAGTTTCAGCAAAAAAAAATAGAAATTGCACATAACGCAAAATTTGAAATTCACAAGATCATATGCATGTGCAAAATTTCAAAATTCTACTCTTGAGTCCTGATCTTAAATACCCATTGAAATAACACTCTAAAATTTGAAAAATTAGAAGAAAAGAATAAACCTATGAAAATCACACTAATTCAGCCCAAGGCTTGAGAAAATTTTGGCTCCGCCACTGCACATACATATTTAATTCATAAATTTTCAGTGGATTGTTTGTTGTTATAGGATATCTAGTAAAATAAATAGTATGTACTATATGTGCGCGCACACTAGTTGTAAGAATAATCATTGATGGAGTGGTGTGCTGGTGTTGGAGTCATGAGTACATCCTATATACATATATTTAGTCTGGCAGAGGCAAAAGGTATATTTATGTTATCTTTAAAATATATATCTATATATATAAACGCAACTCTGTGCAGCAAATTGGTGCATTTTTTTAGATTCGTAAGTACCAGTCTTAAAAAAAATAAATATAACACATAACTAAGTATAATTATGGTCGATGCAACTTAATTCTTTGATATAGTATGAGAAGTAGGATGCATACTTTGTATGTGGTGGGGGGAAGGGTTTCTTACAATCTTTCGAAAAAGTCGTGGGAGTGCTATGTGCGACGAGAGTGTAGATCTCGAGCGCATTGAGCATCGGGGGCAACAAGGACTTGGCGGTGGCCGCAAGAGTGATGTTGAACTTTCCATCTGTGGAGCTGTACCAATTTCTGCTGTAAACGTAATCAGCGGCCAGGTATTGTGGGATGTATGGGAGAGGGTTGTCGCTGTTGAAGTAGACATTGAACTGCCGGATCTTGTTGTCCTGGAAGTCAGCCAAGTGCAGGAACACCATGAACTCAAAGAATGATCTGTCTTCCGACATGATGTTGAGCATAGTGCCGTTCCCGGCCACTGTGACGGCCTTCTGGAGGATTGCCGAGGGAACCCCAAACATGGTGGACTCCTCCTGAATGTTCGACGTGGTTGATAGATTCGCCCACATTGGGTTAGTGGGCATCGTCCACCAGAACCGATCATATTGATCATCAGGAAACCTAGGTGAATGGAGTGAAAAATCATAAATTCATAGACCTACATATGTTTTTGACTAAACTATAAAAAACTACCGATATAATATGGCATATCATAAAACTGTAGATTTAGTATTAAATTTGTTATGAAATACATGCTTAAGCGGAGTATTACCAAACAGTAAATTTAGTAATGAAATCATCATAAAACAACTTGTTTTATATATAGTTTGGATTCCTAGCACTATTGTTCTGTCTGAGTTGCAAAAGCTATAATTTCGTGATAAAATTAACATTAAATCTTTAGTTTTGTGACATACTATATGCCTTCCTTTTCGCTAATTTCATAAACTTTAAACCTTGATCAATGATAGTTTCTGGATAATTTTGGTGCCAAATTTTTTATACGTCCCATAAAACATGTACTTTTGGTCAAAGTATATGTAGTTTTATAAAGTTTGCTGAAAAAAGTGACAAAAATATCTCTATCTATCTATCTATTATTATATACTAAAAGTCCATTAAACTTCCTACGAACGCTCTTAAACCGCCATGTGACATTCCTATAAATGTTCCTAAGTCGCCACATGGTACTATCTAATCTTACCGTTGATCTTCACTTAAATTGGTGGACCCGTTAGTTTACACCATTAGATTAGATCTATTATTAACAAATAATAACTTCCTCATGTTTACAATACAGACGCTACAATTGTATATATGATAGTTTACACCATTAGATTAGATCTAATATTAACAAATAATAACTTCCGCATGTTTACAATACAGGCGCTACAACTGTACGTATGAGTTTGTACGATACAAATAATTCCATACGTGCAAATGTACGTGATCTTTCCTAATCTTGCTGGAAAAAAAATCACATGAACATAAAAAAGACAAGAGAAAACATACGTCCATAAAAACCAACAGTCTTTAAAATATGATTTTCGATAAAATATATTACTTCACGAAAATAAATATATTTAGTTAAATAAAGATCTATAATAAATATCCAATCAATGTTCTTTACACCATCTTCTAAATCTATCTATTATATATTAAAAGTATATTAAACTTTCTACAAATGCTTTTACAACGCTACGTGACTCTCAAATAAATTAGAGAAATCCTAGAAATCTATTATATACTAAAAGTCTATTAAACTTCCTATATACGCTCCTACATTTTCACGTGGCGCTCCTACAAACACTCCTAGACATTTTCACGTGGCGCTCAACCTTCAATTTTCACTTAAATTAGTGGACCCTATTTTAAATATTGAATTAGAGCTCTTAAAATTCCCATTGCTAATCTCTATCCACAAAAAAAAAAACATAACGTGCTTATGTCGTATGATCGTCTCCCTCCCAAAAAAAAAACAAAACTTAAATACCTACACCATATATGATTGAAAAAAGATAAAGCCAAAAATAAAAAGAAAACATGCACACGTACATAGTAGAATCGGAAAGAAATACTAATAAGGAAAAATCATCGATGCCGGCACAAATTTATTGTCAACGGCCTCTATGGTCTAATATTATAGTCCCGTTGTAGATAGAAATTCCTTTATGGTCTAATTCTGAGCAGTAGTAAATACCAAGGCTTAGCAATATTTGATTCATCACAATTAGGTATATTCCATTTGTTATAAAGGTTGCTAAGGAATTCATTATAGTAATGCTTCCCATGGAAATGGTTTGCTTTTGCACATCAAAACCAAAAATTAATCGCGTGGATACATATAATTCAGAAGAATAGGTGAGCGATTCATACACAACATCTCTTTCTTTTATCGAAGGTTCTAGCAATTTGATATCGGGATTTTTATTTAAATCTAAGAGACATTCTTATCACGTAAGTGTATATTAAAATCTACCGTCTATTTTACGGTAAATATATTTCTTTTTTATTGTAGGATAATCTAAATTCCCTTACAGTATATATATAGTGATGTATGAATCCTTTTAGCATTTTCTTAATAACAAATAAGATGTCCGTCCATATGTGCGAAATACCTTTCCGATTTATATTCTAGAAATGTTCTGCAGTTTATATTCTATCATTATTAGTGTTTGAAAAACAAACTACAATACATGTCCACGCGAATGCGTGGGTTACCTTCCTAGTTAGTTAACTAATGAACAATAGCAAAAATAGCAACTAATTCTCAATGCATATTATTGTCAAAACTAGGAAGCATATATACTTATACAGTTGTCCCTGCATATAAAAATATAAGACGTATTTATTTTTGAAAAGTCAAACTTTTTATGGATTAAGTATAAGTGTGTGTGTGTATATATAAGTTTTATTAATATATTCGTATTGCAAAGTGATTTCATAATTGTTGGTTCCATAGATATTAATAATGCATTTTATGAACAGTCAATGATCAAAGTTTAGTCCTAGAGATTATTTTCAAAATGAAATACACACTATGTTCTTATACAGAGGGAGCATATAAGTTCGACTCAAGAAAGGTCAGGCCACATGATGGACGATAATCACGTTCAAGGATTAACATAGCGGACGTGCTAAGCCATCCAAGAAGGAGAAACCATGGAAATCATCAGGATTAGAAATACTCCATCCGTTTCAAAATGTTTGACACCATTGACTTTTTAGCATATGTTTCACCGTTCGTCTTATTAAAAAAATTTATGAAATATGTAAAACTATATGTGTATATGAAAGTATATTTAACGATGAATCAAATGATATGAAAAGAATAAATAATTACTTAAATTTTTTGAATAAGACGAATGGTCAAACACGTACTAAAAAGTCAATGGTGTCAAACATTTTGAAACGGAGGGAGTAAAAATTAAAGATTATGGGAAAACTTGCCGGAATGCCGGCTGAAAGGATTAGAACAAAAGGAACATTACAGGAGTATCTTTGTGTAAGGGATTGATTTCTTCCTTAGCTGTCAATCACTTCGTTCAAAGAACAATATCCAACAACTTACCTTTCTCCTTTTCTTAAGGGATAAAATAAAAACTAATATTATAACTTCAAAATACGAATTAATATACTTTGATGCGAACTCTTGCCAATATAAAATACATAAATATAATCTACTTCACAAATATAAACACTTTCTCCCACCCAGCTACACCTTATTTAATTTTTTGCTGATTTTACTTTCAACCACCTTCCCACCTCCCGTTTAAGGGAGAATTTACTATTTGCCACTCTCTCAAAATGCCAGTGCTCAAATGCCACTCTCCCAAATTTTCATTCCCAAATGCCACCCGGGCCCACATGTCAGCCTCACTCAGCATCGGGTCCCGCATCACTTTTGTTTGAATGGAGAGTGAGGCTGACATGTGGGCCCGGGTGGCATTTGGGAATGAAAATTTAGGAGAGTGACATTTGAGCACTGACATTTTGAGAGAGTGGCAAATAGTAAATTCCCCCATTTTTAATGAGGGGCACCATATTATTTTCTCTACATCCTTAATCTCTCAAGATATTTAGAGGCGCTTATATTTGTGAATGGTTTTTGGTTAGTGATTGATTTTTTAATCCATAAATCACTATTTACTGCTGTATTGGGCCTCAAGATTTAAATTATCTGGACAGGGCGCCTCCTTGCGCCCAGAGAGAGGGATAGAGAGAGAAAGGGGAACGAAAGGAAGAACAAATCATAGTATAAAAACTCCGACCGGACGTCGAACCGGTAAAGGCCTTGGTTCGCTGGTCCAACGGTTCGACCATTAGGTCGCTGGTCCGACCTCGGTTTTTAAGTAATAAAATGCTTCGTGTTTGTTTCACACCAGAATGTACTGGTGGGAAACTCGCAGCTCCAACCAGCAGACCAGGGTTCGATCCTCACGCTTCACCCCATATTTGAACAATAAAACATATTTGGGCCTTAGGGCTTGAGCAGCCCATTAAGGAAGATGCCGTCCGATGGCCCAGCTCGCATGAGCCGGCCGGTTTTGGAGTCCCCGGTTCAGCGATTTTTCATGAAAACTGTCCGATTTAGCCGGTTCACACCGGGTAATCACATAGACTGTCCTGGAAACAAACCGACCCGGTGAAGAAGCTGGTGCTGATTTTTTTCTGGTTGAACCGTCAGTCCAATCCGGTTTTTTCTACTATGGAACAAATCCTTTGGGACTAACATGTGTGTCTGCCAACATATTTCTTTAGCCTTTTCTTTTTGTAATCTGTTGACTTGGTTGCCGAGCACGTGCCACGCAGAAAGAAAAAACTACTTTTGACTGGGTTGGGTGGTTATTTTTCCTGTCCAACAAGCTGCGAGGGTAATGAATATTTGGTATCATAATTTAGGATGTAAATCGGACGTTTTTGATAGTTTAGGGGTAATTCAGACCGTGCACTAAAAAGTTAAAATTAATTAGTAGTTATTTATATATAATTTCCAAAAAATTCTATATGTTACTATAAAGTATGTCCAATAACTTCTAAAGCTTAATATGAAAGTGCGCTCTATCATTATCTACTAGCAATTATTATCTACTGGTGTATTTTAAATCAAATACAAGTATGCCACATTATCGCCCATTAGCAATTATTATCTAGATTATTTTGAATATCATGCAAATATGACATATCGTTTATAATTTTGTTGTATTTTTAGAACTCAATATGCAATCAATGTCAAATCATCTGTCCACATTATTTTTATATTATTTAAATATGTGTATCTATCATTTCTATAATGTATAACATACATTCATCCACGTATCCCGCGGCAAAGCGTGGGGTATCAACTAGTTATTTAAATAGAAGCATAACACGGTGGTATGGATTCACAAATATAGTAATTAGTAGGGGCATTTGCAAATTTGCCACCGGTTTTTTTAATTTTGTAAGGATGTTACTCGAATGACAGTTCTAATGATATTTTTGTAATTTTCTAATGGTAGTCTTGCAATAATGTTTTAAAGTAGTGGTAAATTTATAATTGCCCATAATTAAGTACTACCTCTATGCATATATGTATGACGTTGGGTTGTATAAATTTGAACTAGCCAAAGTCGTATAAAAAAAATTGGAGGGAGTAATTATTTTTTTAAAAAAGTACGTACTGCCATGGAAGAACTTACCGAGTAACAGAGCTGTTTATTTGCCCCATCCTCTGCCGACTAGACAAGCGCAGGGACTGGTTGGCCATGACGGCCGGGTAGATCTCGCTGCCGAGCGGCCTCAGCTCAATCGCCGACGCGTATGGCGTTCCCTGGCCGGTGTTGACGAGGCACACCGGCGCCCAGCTCGCCCACGCCATGAACAACGCCTCGTACACCTCGGTGCCGTCGTCGTGCACGGTGTCCCAGTAGTTCGCCCCGAGGTGCAGGTCGAACTGCAGCGTCGCCGTCGTCGTCGCCGTCGACGAGCTGTTCTGGCTGTCCCTCGCTATCACCACCCGGACAAGGTACTTGTCCCCGGAGACGGTGGGGAGGGCGTAGCAGTTCCTCTCCCCTGTGGGGAATCTCCTGAGCGTCAGGTAAGGACGCCGGGTGGTACTGTCCCCCGAGGCCTGGTGGTTCTCCCCGTTGTCAATGTACGGGCCGTCGGAGACGTAGACGATGCCGAGGTCAGTGTCCTTGTAGCCGCTGTATTTGGCCTCTAGACCGCAGTCAATGCTCAAAAAACCTGCATTTTGTATACATATTCGTGCTCAAAAAGAAAATGGCAACGGACACAAAAGAGAATTGAGAATCATCGACTATATAATAGTTAATGAACTAACGATTGATATGATGAACCGTTGTTATGGAGTATTAATTTTATATTACCTTCGTTTTCAATAAATAAATAAATAAATATGCTATGTTTTGATTGAGGGAGTACAGAAACTAGTTTGCATTAATCATGCATGCTAGTAGCTAGGATGAATATGCATATAAGAAAAAGGATTATGAACCTGGCAGCTGGCCGATGGCAGGTGACGCGGCGGCTAACACGACGATTGCAGCGAAGAAAAGGAAGAGCGCCATTGTTTGGCAGCCGAAGCTCTAGCTAGCAGGCGACCGAGAAATTAGTGCGCTAATTAGCTCCTTATGTATATGTTGCGAGTTGTATCCGGGGTTTACGTTGTAGCGAGCAAGTTAACTTGTAGCTTGGAGTTGACTGATTTGTTAATTAGCGAATGTACGTGCCAACTGGGTTGTGGCATTATTTGCTCTCACATGTTTTTATTCTCTCTTTTATGCAAAAACGTTGACTGACTTGGTCATCTTCGGAATACGGGCAGCGCCTCTGACGACGACCCGGTTTGTACTTTACCTTGATCAGTCAATCATCGATCTCGATGGAAGGATAGGGTAAAAGCCACGGTTTGCCATGGTCGTCTCTCCATGGGGGTGAAGGTTTGTCTTTTGGCGTCCGGTTCCAACGAGACAAGGGAGAAAAATATACTCCCTCTGTTTTAAAATATAAAATATACTCACTCTGTTTTAAAATATAAAATTTACGGGTAAAAGTTCTATACGATTATTATAAAAAGTAGGCAAAACTAAATATATATATATATAGTGTTGGCAAAAGGGCATGTAGCCTAGTGGTTACAATAGCCTCAATAGCACTGTCCTGGGTTCGACTCCTCGTGGGAGCGAATTTTCCAAGATTTAACGACTTTGTGTTTTCAGTGGTAGGCAACGTACCCGTCGACAGCGAGGCGCCTGTGGTGACTTCGTCAATCTCCAGGATTTGCCGGCCCAGTCTTCAAAGATACTCATAGGGATAGGGTTTGCGTGCGTTCATAGGGGTGAGTGTGCGTGTGTTGTGAGTGTCGGCGTTGTACTGTGTAATTCTAATATATGTGTGTGTGTATATATATATATAGACACACACACTAGCAAAAGTGCCCGTGCGTTACACCGGGTGATTACAGAGTGTGTATATTGAACAAAAGTGTTGTTTGGTTTAGCAAAAGTGCCCATGCGTTGCACCGGGAAGTTTACAGATCAGAAAAATATGCAATTAATTAAAATATAGATTCGCTGAAATATTTGGTATTTTTAAGTAGGTATGTGTATAATTAAATAAATTTACAAGTAAAATTCTCCATTCTCCATGGTTAAATAAAATGACATGGTTAAATTTAATTTTATTAAATTCTCCATGATTAGTTACGCTCTTTGGAATTTAATTGGAATTTTCAGAGCTTAATTGCTAATTTTATTAATACAAACATCATTTAACAATTATTTAATTGGAAAAAGAAAGAAAATACTTTCTTTTAGGTTTGCTTCGAAATAAACATATTCAATATAACTATAATTGTAATTGTAATGTTTCTGAAAAAAATGAGCACTAAAAATGAACTTATTCTCTTTTTTTTGGCCCGAGGGACCTAAAATAGACTTATTTCCAACCAATGCCGGTCGGCCCACGGCCTTTTGCACACGCGCGGGCACACTTTTCCTCCCCAGGCCGCAACCTAGGCTTGGGCCGGAAATGATGCCTCACTCTCAATCCCTCTTGGGCCGATTCCGATCTCCAGTGTTTTGATCGGACGGCCGAGCGTCCATAGTGGGGAAACAAAACCCCCTCCCTCTCAACCGCCGAAACCCTAGCCCACTTTGCCTCCCTCATATCTCACTTCGCCGCCCTCCCCTCCGCGCCCCCGAGCGGCGGCGGCGGCGTCGACGGCGCCCCTCCTACACCACCGACGGCGGCGCCCCCACCACCCACGGCGGCGTCAGCGGCACCCTCCCCCACCACCAGCGGCAGATCTAGCGGGAAGGGAGGCGCCCCGCGAGCGGCGGCGGCGGCGCTCCCACCACCCACGGCGGCGTCAGCGGCACCCTCCCCCACCACCGGCGGCGGATCAAGCGGGAGGGGAGGCGCCCCGCGAGCGGCGGCGAAGGCGCCCCTCCTCCCGCGAGCAGCGGCGGCGGCGACCCCCTTCAATCTAATTTTTGGTTTTTATTTGGATATATATGTGTACATGCATCATGATTTGTGTGATTGAACTCCGATTGTAATTGTGATTTTTTTTTGGGGTTTGATTGGATTCGGATTGGGATTTTGGGGGAGGGGGGCGACGAAGCGGGACGAAAATCTGGAGGTGACGACCGGAAAAATCCAAATATTTATATTAGTTATATATATATATATATATATATATATATATATATATATATATATATATATATATATATATATATATATATGTATGTATGTATATATAGTGTTGGTTTCCTAAACCCTAAACTTCAAGCTGTGATGATGAGACCTTAGGGCCCACTACTACAAAACATCGAATAGGTGTCATCACTATAGGTGCCGGAAGTGCTAAAATCGGCACTTACAGGCCTTTTTCCACTTCCGCGGATTGAAATCGTAAAAAACCGGCACCTTTAAGTAATTATAGCTGTCGGTTATAAATAAAACCGACACCTATTCTATTTCTGTCAGATTTAAAAAAAAACTGAAACCTTTAATATAAAAAACGGCACATAAGAGTTGAGCCGAGCCGGCAGGCCCCACCATGATGCGTCGAGGAGATAAGGTCCATAGTGTCTCCTCTCGCTCGCTTGAACTCTCCTGTTCTCTCCGCTTTCTCTCCCCTCTCTCTCGAGCACCTTATCTTCTCTTTCTCCTCTCCCAGCGGCGGAGGCGGAGGCTAGAGGAGCAACGTGCGGCGGCGTTGGCGGCGTCAGCAGCGCATGGCGGGAGGAGTGGCGGCTGCCCAGAGGCACCCTCCCTCCGCTAGATCCGGCGGGAGGAAGGGCGCGACGGCGGCGGCACCGGCCCAGCAGGGGCGGGAGGGGCGGTGACGCCCTCCCCTCCACCAGATCCGGCAGGAGGGGAGGCGCGGTGGCAGCTGACGACGTGGAGGCAGCGACCCCTACTTTCCGGCGACCCGACTGTGGGAGGGGAGGCGGTGGTGGCCCAGTGGCGGCGGATCCTCGGGGCAATGGCGGCACGGTGGCGAATCTGGTAGACGGCGACGGTGAGCAGGGGTGGAGTCTATTCATTGTTCTTTCAATGCTTGCTGTGTGATGTCTGTGATTGATGTTGGTTGATTCTTGAGTTTATAGTCTGTAATTTTTGTGATGATGTTAGTTGATTCGTTGTGATGATGTTGGTTGATTCGTTTATGTTGTGGATTTGATCTTTTGGGCGCAACACGGGGCGTGGATGCGCTCGAGGCACCGGCTCGATTCGAGCCGGTGCATCGAGCCTTTTTTTTTTTTGGCCTGCCAATGCCTCAAAGGTACCGGTTTTGAAACCGACACCAATCACTTGGAGTTAATAGTGCTGCCTCCCTGGTGTCGGTTGGGAAAACTAGCATCTAAGGGGATTTCCCAATTGGCACCAAAAGGGTATTATGTAGTAGTCACCGGTTTCAAAACGGGCATTGACATATAAATCCAAATTTAAATTTTGGGAAGTGAAAAAATTTTAAAAATATTTTTAAGTAGTACCTATTTTTTCAAGTTAAATACACACCTTATCGTCACCCCCTTTACCAACTCACCTACACATCAAATTTCTATTATCTAATAAATATTTTTTTTCTCTTTTGAGCCTCTCTAACTGAGATTTGAATCATGGATTTGAGTATTTTAAAGACTTCAAAAGAAAAGGTTGTCAAGTACAAAACCATAGATATCGTTACAAGCTATAATTTTCACATAAAATTAACCTCAATCCAAGTTCTTATGAAAAGTTAAGCTCATATCCAAAAATGACACTAACATGATCAGGACTATCAGTGCTCATTTGTGGCAACAATTGGCACAGATGAGGCACTTAGTGCTAGTTTATAGCAAGAACTAGCACAGTTAACCCCACTCAAATTTATAAATTTTACCAGCAAAAATTCTTATTAGTACCGGTTATATATAGCAATGAACCGGTACCGATGAGTGGGATATCTATCTGTGACAGATAGTTATATAGGGTGTCATTGATGTTGTGCCATCAATGCCACATTTTGCCCAAAGAGGGAGTGCATTTATAGGTTCGAGGGGATGTGAAACCTTCATTAGTGTCGAGTTTGACCTAACCGATACTGATAGAGGCAACAACGATAGGTTGGTGTTAATGCTGAAATTTGGTAAGATTCTTACGTGGATTTGGTTAAGGAAAGAACACAATTAGCCGATGAAAAGTTTATTCAGAAAAGACTGAGTTCAAGAAGGGATCTTGAAGACCAAGATCCCATGACATGGCTTAAGTTATCTATTAATTAGTCAAGATTTATCTTTAGAAAGTATTGTTTAGTGTCCTGTCATGACATATGTTTTTCCTTTTATCTTTAGAAAAGTTTGTGTTGTGTCCAATTGGGACGCATATTGACCTGTGGGTATAAATATGTACACCTAGGGTCTCTGTAAATCATCTCCACAAATCAATACAATTACTTTCGGCATATCGCCATCCTATTTTCCGAGGTTATATCGCTAGCGGAACTTGGCACCTTACGCGGGGCTACATCACTTCGATCTCTCACGAAGGGGTAAGCCCTAAATTTCGCCAGCTCTGGCAATTGTATCAGCTATATTGGTGATGTTGAAGGCTACATTGCTTCGATCTCTTGGATTGCTCCGGTTCAATTGATATATTTGTCTACCTGATATTTCAATTCTCTTTAATTGCATTGTGTTTGGAGATACATCGGTTTAGTTGGTAATGTCTCGGTCAGGTCAGATCTTCTACCTTAGTTGATATATCTCTATAGTCACAATGTTTTTAAATATATTTGTTATATCCATTATGTTAGTATAGATCTATCGACTTATATAGCTTATTTGATCAGACGTAATCTAGAACCTCTCGGATGGGTTCGACCTTCGATGTTACTGCCGATAATCCAAGTCTTGCTAAGTTTATAAATTTGTGCTTCACTTTATTGAAGTGCTAGCCGATAAATTATCTTTACATCGGACTTTCAATCGATGTATGTTTTAATCATCGAACCTACATCTAATATTCTATATCAACATCGGCTGATTGGTTTGTTGGATATTTGCATCACTATATCTATGTTGGCTGATTGGTTCATTCGATATTTACTTAGTTACATCTATATCGGCCGATAAGTTCATTATCTCATTACATTATCATCAGT